TCAACTCTTCGAGTTGACGCAGGTATTGTACACAGGTAAGTTGGGAAACTAGGGATCGAGCCCTGGGATCTGTCTCAGCTACCACGAATTGGTGAATACCGTTTCAGACAGAAAAAAAACAGACAGAAAAAAGCCAAACACCCCTCTTCTACGGCCTCGCCTCCCCCCTCAGAGTGTTGGGAACCCCCCCCCTAACCCCCCCCCTAACCCCCCCCAACCTCCCCAGACCCTTGTTTGTTGTCCTCTTCTCCCTCTCTGCCTACGGTTTACCGGGCAGTTCTATTTGACGATATATATTAAAAAAAAAAAAAAACGTTCGCGGTCGGTCGGTTTTCCGACCCGTTCGCGTTCCGTCGCGACCGAACGCGAACGGCATGCTACGCAGGGTTAATCGTTAATTATACAACCTGTACCCTTCACGATTGCCATCTTTACACCTGCGCTGCCGCAATACTCATTGAAAGAAACAGTGGTCTCTCTATTTTATAAAAGAACTCCTAGCAGTTGTTTTGAGGTCTCATGGTTGTTTTTGTTTGCCTGCACTGTATGCATTCTTTCAAAGGAAGTCTTGTTTTCTGCGAGAACTTTTCTCTAGCTGCAATTCTCACCCTACCAACCACAGCAAGCCGTTTTACGACATCTATGATTTTTTTACTAATGTGTGTTTGAAAGGATTCACGTTGCAGACACCTAGTCCCAGTCCCGGGGTCCAAAAGGAGTCCCAGTCCTAGCATGTCCCATATGGTAGGTTGTAGGGTTATTTAGGTCGAAGCATCATAGGTTATAGGCGCGGGTACCGAAAAGTCAAAAGTCGGTAGTGGTAATACTGTACCCTACAATAAAAGTCTGGAAGAGTCCAGCGGAGGCTAGCAGTCCAAGAAGGGTCTAGCAGAGGCCGACAGTCCGGAAGGGTCCAGCCAAGTCGACAGTCCCAAGAGTCAGGAATTTGCAGCAAGGCCCAGCAAAGTCCAGAAGCATCCGGACTGACAAAATGACTGTAGCAGGCAGGCCACGACCGACTAGTACCGGTCTGAAGCAGGCCAAGCCAAGTAAAGTCCAGTCCTATATTTAGTTGCTACAGTGCAGCGGTTGACACACGGGTTCAATTGCGAAGATATGGAAGCGCTGCTGCTGCTTGTGCGTTAAGGCAACTTGGGCAGACCGCGCCGGGAGGTGGAAGAAGGCACAGGACGTAGCCATAGCTAGGTGGTAGGGGAGGCAGACCGGCGGTTATAGCCGCCAAGGTGGTAGCTTACCTGAGTACGGTGTATTCAGGACTACGATCAAGACGAGAGAGAGAGAGAGAGAGAGAGAGAGAGAGAGAGAGAGAGAGAGAGAGAGAGAGAGAGAGAGAGAGGCGGAGCGATACAAGTGAGAGAGACGACATAGGACAGAGAGAGGGGGAAGTTAAAGCTTCTACTAGTCGAGATTAGTTCTGAGTTGTGTGTGTGAGCGGCAAGGCCGCTGAAGAAACAAACATTTCTTGTATCATAATGATAATTTGGTGACGGATTCTTCATGTGCCGATTGTATCTCGACTTGGACTTCTCACGTCTGAAATCTCATGTGAATGTTCGCTGCATGTGTGCGAGGTTTGAGCTTGTCTGAACTCGGATCCTTTCAGGACCACTTCAAATGTTTTGAGCATAGGAAGCATAATCCCCCAGTCTCCAGTCTTTCTACTCCTTTCTATTCACCAAGGTACATCTTTTCTCGAGTACGGAGCAACCCCAATATGTTTGAGTTCCTTGATGAAAGTTCTTATCACTTTTCTGTGTACATTGTATGTTTGAAATTTTTGTGTGCACTTTTGTTATCAGATTATCACCACATTACCTTTATTGGGTTTTGTTTTGCAGGTTGACAATGTTACTGAGTTGAGGAAAGTTTTTATCACAGAGTTCGGTTTTGAAAGCGGAGGATCTGAAGGGAGTGTCTGTGGACGCAGTTTGGAAGACTGTGCAGTGGTTGACAACAATGTGCCCGCTGAGGTAAACTAAAAAACTATGTTGTGATCGTACCTGCTACGTCACTTGTAATGCAAAGTTAACTTTAGACAATGGTTGACTTTAACGCAAGAAAAAAGTGGGTTGGAAAAATGGGGATGGGACAAAGTGGAATAGGATTTAGTTTTTCACGAATTTCTTTTGAGAAGAATTTGTTAATCCCGTCCTGCAGTTCCCGCCTCCTGCAGTTGCTCAGCTTAAGCTTTTTTAAACCGCAAGTACATCGCCCCACCTTCGTAGAGATTTACTCGTCACATACGCAGAAGGACATTTCGTGCCCCGGGGCTGGAGAACCACAATGGCTGGCGGCGCCAACCAAAACAAAAAAGAAGTGTGTCGCTGGCAGCTCGGGGAAGCTTGGCGCGCAGCGCGGTGCCTCGAGGCCCGAGTGTACTGGTCGTTTAAACCACCACTCCGTCGGACGTCAAAAAGTCGGTTTCCATGGACATACGGAGCCGGATTTACGAGGGGGCCGCGACCAGCAGGCAACAGTGGGCCCACTCCCACGACTTCTAAGCGCCAACTTCGACAATTTTTCATGCTTTGAAGAATGCACAAACAAATCTAGGAATATAAAATCGTGTAGGTTAGGTGGCTTAGGTCGTGGTCTTTCCAAAAAAAATCAGCAAGATGGAAAAAAAAAAATGATGAAATAAATTGTGCATTGCTTCGGAGTGTTTTTCATTTTTAACCACTCCGTCACATTTTGGCTATGCAAGAAGTTCAGCAATTTTTCGCGCTCTGGAGAATGCACTAAAACATTCTGAAAATTGTAGGGCCTGTAGATTTGGTCATGATCTTGCAGAAAAAATATTAAAAAAAATAAAAAATGTGTTTCGACGACGAAATAAATCACGTCGGCCCATTCAATGCATTTTCCATTTTGGCCACTTTGCCGGTTCCCTGCACTATACTACTGGTAGCCCTGGTGAGTGATCCTACCTCCTACCTCACATCTGATTCAAAGTTGATTTTAGACAATATAAGACTCGAAACTAAGAAAAAGTGGGCTGGAAAAGACGGGGATGGGACATAATGGGATAGGAAGTAGTTCTTTAGGATTTTTTTTGGGTGAAAAATGTGTTAACCCCTCCTGTAGTTCCCTTGCATGAGCTTTTTTAAATCGTCAGTACACAGTCCCGACTTTATTGTGATTTACTGGTTGCCTACTACGAACATTTCACACCTAGGGCGTACCGAACCACAATGTCTGGCGCCCCCAACCGAAACAGAATAAGAACTGCGCCGCTGGCAGTTTGGGAAAGCTTGGAGCGCACTGTGGTACGGCGGTTTTCTGAGCCCCCCCTCTTTGTCCACTGGTTAATTAAACACGAAGAGCTTTCTCTTATTCTCTCCTCTCTCTCCTCTGTTAGTTAAGGTGATCTATGACTATCAAACTGCACGCTAATATTTGATGTACATGGTCATGTTGATCTTTGTTTTTTTGCAGTCGGAACATAATTCTCAACAACAACTTCTCAATGGTGGAGATTTGGACAGCCTGTTTGAGCATTTCGCTCTACGTGGTCGACTTACCAAGTTGAAGTCGTCACCATTTCCTGCACTTGATGCCTTTGTCATATCGCTTGCAAGCACATACTGTCTGTCAAAAAAAGAATGTGAGTTTGCTACCTTTCAGACTTGTATTTCATTTTAGAGTATCGCACAGGGTGGCCGGCGTTCTGGACCAGCTGAACGCCCGAACCTGAACGCCCAAACGTACAGGACCCCTTTGGGATGCGTTCGGTCATTCGGGCCGAAGGCGGAAAAAAAAAAAAAAAAAAAAAAAATTCTTATGGAGAAAAATAAAACGAATAACATTTTGCCTGAGCGGTACATCCAAATTTCTTATCAAATTTGAAATAAAAATAAAATACTGACAATAAATACTAATAGAAAAAATAAGAAAAATTAAAAAGAGAATTAAAATTAGTGAGTGTGTGAGCACATTTTCGACACCGCCGTTTTTGGCGATTTTTCATTTTTTTTTTTGGCATAGCCAAATGCCCTGAAAATTTACAGATGTGTACTTCAAATAATACAAAACTCGTCCGTAAAGTTTCAAAAAAAAAAAAGAAATTTAGGCACCAAAATAAAGTGAAAAAATAAACAAAATAGTAAGTGGGTGAGCACGTTTTGACACCGCCATCTTTGGCAATTTTTCTTTTTTTATTGGCTAAGCAGAGTGACTTCAAAATTTATAGGCATGTACCTCACATCATAGAGAACTCATAAAATAAGTAAAAAAAAAGAAAATAATAATGTTTAGGCCCCCGAAAAGTTTTTGGCAGGGGCGGAACTCCTGGTTAGGGCCCCGAACGGGACCCCAAACTCCCGTACGTATGGAGATTGGGCTGGGGGTCTCCATACGTACTGGCTGGTAACCCTGGTATGACATGTAATTTCCTGGGGTGTCATAGTTCAGTCTTCACATTAAGGTGCTTCCGCTTTTGCCTTACATAACATGTCCCTTGATGAGCAGGTGGTAGTTTGAGGTGCTTCCGCTTTTGGTTTACATAACTTTTGGTTCGGGCCCCGAACGGGACCCCAAACTCGCTTTTATGAGCAGGACGAGGCCTTAAGCCCTCAGCAGCAGTAGCAATCTGGCGAGGCTCACAGACCTCATGGTCTTCCTAAGTGAAGGCTGGCCAAGAAAAGAAGCCGTGGGGCGCCATTTTCGTCAATTTTGCAGTAGGGGTCCCGTACAGTTACAGTTGCGGGCCGGTTGAGGGCCACGCATAATCCTGAGGCCCACACTTTTCGGACAACTGCCCGAGAAGCAGCATCGCGCGTGAGCCTCAGAACTTCCCAGGCAGTTTCCTCGCCTAAATGATTGGGCCCTGGAACCAACTTGAAACTACGCCTGGAATTCAGATGCAAGACGGCCGGAACATGACCAGGCAGAGGCCAGCGATTTTCCATAAAGGAAAGGGCCAGCCTGCACATTCCTCATTCGGGCACTTGCATGCCCGGGCGATAGTGTTGTTGTGCTCAAGGTTGCTCAAGTGGAGGCTCACCCGTTCGCGGGTGAGTAGGTAGAAAAGGCAACCAGTTATAGCCAGGCTGGGCTACCAGCTGCTGCTGTGTGATGCGAGGTGGTTCTTGGGCAACACATGGACAGCGTGTGATGTAGGGTGCAAGTGTGAGTGGGAGTGGGATGTACCTGGGTCTTGCAGTGTTTGGCATTGATCGCTCTGCATTTACTCCAAGTTGCTGCTGATGTATCCAAGTGGCATCTAGTGTAGGCTAGATAGCATCTGCTGGAAGTATTCTGGGCGCCGAGCACCAAGTAGGAGGATGACTCTGGAATATTGACGATGTTCATGAGACTCGAGCTACATTGTCAATTGTGATAATTGTTGTGCTCTTATTTGGTGCATTTCGTGTTGCATTTCTGCTTTCTGAATCGAGGTCATGACTATCTGGTTTTCATTAGATGTTGCAATTTGGTCTTTGTGATATTGCTCTTGCTCATTTCCTTCCAACAGGTTCTATACGTGAGATCACACTGTACCCTCAGACCTGGAATATTGTGTTCCACCTGCCAGGAACACGTTATTGCAGCTATATCGGACGCGAGCATTTGCGGAATACAGGTGAGTTCTTTTTTTTTTCAATTTACGTCCATGGGTAGCTAGCTATGTAAAAGCGCATAGCACTCACACAAAGGAAAGAGTAGGAGCTACGAAAAGATGTTCCACCATGTGAAACTCGTAGCTGGACTAGGGTTGAAAAAAAAGCTGGTTGCGTAAGGGGCAGAAGGACAGTGACGATTGCATCCTGTGGCCAAGGAGCACATCTTGTGGTGATCAGACATTGTAGTATTGAATGTTGAAGATAAATTGGGGAAACATGGGAAATTGATAGCGAGAGAATGAAAAGGAGCGAAAAAAAATTGGAGGGTTGTAGAAGAGAGTAAAGCCTGCAAAATTGTTGTTGTTTTGATGCATGGAGTTGGGATGTTGGCCCTTCTTTGTCAACAGACTTCAGTATTCAGTGTGTTCTCCCCTGTGCTGTGCTTCTTGCTTTGTATCCTACTTTCAACTTCTGTCACGTATGTTTGAGCTAGTCACATATGTTGGAGTCTTTTGCCCAATCCTGGTTTGATTGTTTTGCAGCTTGTAAAGTTTGAGTTCCCATTTATCATTTCCTCGCAAATAAATGGAGAGTTGACTTTTATGAACAATTTTGATTCATCACTTTTTATGGTTGTAGTCATGTGTGTTGTGAATTGCAGATCAAGAACATTTCATTTCAAGTGTCAAGACAAAGACTGCAAAGGTGTGCAACACATTTTTATTGTTTCTTGTCCAAATGTTATTAACCCGGAAAAATTGCATGTTTAAAATATTTCAATGGGCATTATTATTACAAGCTGTCCTGTTGTGGCTCCGTCAAATATAATTTCACATCTACTACCATGCCAGCTCCACTTCCCATTGGTGTGTAAGAGGCATGCCTTTTCGAGTCTCAAGCGATAGCTAAAGCTTTGCATGCGAGGGGTTCCTTCTTCCGATTTGTTTTTTTTGGGGGGGGGTCAATCATGAAACCAAGTCAGTCAAAACCACCTCTTGATGCAGCATACCCCGTGGATTGCTCCCCCCCACCCTCCGCCCTCTCTCTCTCTCTCTCTCTCTCTCTCTCTCTCTCTCTCTCTCTCTCTCTCTCTCTCTCTCTCTCTCTCTCCACCCCCTTCCTCCGCCCTTTCCCACGTGGTAGTTCATGCAGAAAGACATGCCACATAGAATGATAGAACCATTGCAAGAAAGGGATTCGATCTCTTTTTTCCCCCCTTCCATGCCACCACGGTTAATGGAGCAGATGGAACGTATGTACCAAGAAAATCAGCACAAAGTTCTCTCTCTCTCTCTCTCTCTCTCAATCTCTCTCTCTCTCTCCCCCAACTTCTCCCCCTCTGCCCTTCCGGCAGGTTGTAGTTTGTGGTGCAAGACATGCCACGTCAAGTGATCAAGCTACTGCGAGAAAGAGATTCTATCTTTTTTCCCTCCCCTCCATACCACGACGATCAATGGAGCGGATATCACGTCTATACCAACTAGATCAGCGGATGTCATGTCTATACTCCTCTCTCTCTCTCTCTCTCTCTCTCTCTCTCTCTCTCTCTCTCTCTCTCTCTCTCGTGGTAGTTCGTGTTGCAAGACATGCCACCTTGATGGATAGAACCATTGCGAGAAAGAGATTCGATCTGCGGATGTCACCTATATACCAAGTAAATGAGCAAAAATCTCTCTCTCTTTCTCTCTCTCTCTCTCTCTCTCTCTCTCTCTCTCTCTCTCTCTCTCTCTCTCTCTCTCTCTTCACCAGGTGGTACTCTGTGGTTCATCCCATGCCATCTCAATTGATCAAGCAAATGCAAGAAAGAGATTCTATCTCATTTTCCCCCCCCCTCCATACCACTGACAATCAATGGAGCGGATGTAACGTCTATACCAATTGGATCAGCACAGAGCTCCCTCTCTCTCTCTCTCTCTCTCTCTCTCTCTCTCTCTCTCTCTCTCTCTCTCTCTCTCTCTCTCTCTCTC